GTGGCTCCACTCTGAGCAGCCTCCCCACAGTCGCTCTACACCCACAGCCTAGGCAGGCTCCTGCAAGGGGTGTTTAGGAGTGGGGTGAGACTGAATCCTTCCACTCTGACCCTTCATGAAATGAATTGGCAGAGGCTGGCCGAAAGCCCTGGGAACGGAGCAACTCGGTGGAGAAACCTGTATCTTCATTGCTGTCCAGGTGAGCTGTTCTGGGAAGGGCCACGAGACGAGACTCATGGGTGGGCTTCGGCATTGGTTCACATATCTGTTTCATTCCATTGCTGTAGAACCCCGTCTGTGGCAAAGAGCCCCGAAGCTAAGAGTCCCCTTCAGTCGCAGCCTCACTCTAGGTACCGACAACCCTCCTGCTCATGTGTTACCTGGGCTCTAGGGCCTTCTCTGTCCCCTTGCCCATGACTAACACCTCCCAGCCCTGTCTCGTGTCTTGGTATTAACAACTTGCTCTGGGAAGGGTGGTCTGTTCTTTCAGACCTGGGGAGAGGGAAAGCTAGAGACGCAGTGGTGTAGGCTGGCTCCTTCTCTCTTGGGGTGGGACTTAGAGGGAAAGGGAAGAAAAGCAGAGAGCCATCAGTCTGTGGGCTCTGTGGGGACTGCTGCACCCCTCAACGCAGCACCCTGTCCCTTCATATCATTCTTGGTTCCCTTCCTTTGCATTCAGCACACTTGGCCCCCTCCCCCACAAATCCACTGACCATGTTTCTCAAACCAAATGCCAGTGTGACAGAAGGATAGACTCTTGAGAACTATGCTGGCCCAAAAAGTCAGAGATGGTGACTGAAGTCAAATACGCCTGCATTGAAGGCCCCTAAGCCCACACCAGGAATTGTTTCCACTGGTCACCCCAGAAGGAAGCAAGCAACCCTTGTCACAGAGCAGGTGACACCAGATGCCCGGCTTGCAGAGTGGGACAAGGCTCCAGCGTGGCCCTGACAGGCATGCCCGTGCTCGGCCAGGCTGTGCGCCAGAGATGACTAAGGCCCTTGAGAGGCCCTGGAGAAGATTGGGGTCAAGGGTAATCCAGGGTGGGAGCCTTAACAAGGGGCTGGCCAAGCCTCTGGGAGAGAGAGAAGCTGATGCATAGACATTTGTGACGCAGCTCCAATGTGATCATGAAGATTGACTGCAAGTTGCTTCTTCATGCAGGGCCCCTGAAGAGCACCTGAGCACAGCCAGGCCTCAGCCTAAAGGAAGCTCACTCTGTCAGATGGGAAGGCTGACAGAGGGGGATGAAGTAGGCCCGTGGCCTTCCAGCAGAGCTGGTTCCGAAAGCTAGTAGATTCTCAGGGTGTGGCCTCACCTTCTCAGTGGTCAGGTGTCCTTCCCTGGACAGAAACACAGATGAGGCCTCTCTCTTAGAACGAAATCTCTTTGCAGCTTTAATCCAAACCTGATCTTTTTTGTTTTATTTTGTGGTTGTTTGATTTTTTGTTTTTTGAGCCAGGGTTTCTCTGTAACCTGGAACTTGCTTTGTAAACCAGGCTGGCCTCGAACTCACAGAGATCCGCCTCCCTCTGCCTCCTGAGTGCTGGGATTAAAGGCGTGCGCCACCAACGCCACCACCACCCGGCCTTGCCAAATCTGCTCTTTAGTTTGAGTGAAGATGCAGTAACCAGCCACTCAAAGCACTCGTGCTGCTCATGATCGCTGTCAGTGTGGGGATGAGAAGTAAGGCAGGTGACCCAGTCCCTGGAAGTCACTGCTGAAGGAAGGGCCTGAAGCTTGGGTTGTTCGCTTACCCAGAACCCCTGGTAGACCTTTCAGCACCATGACTAACATCTGCGGGCTCACCCAGGATGAACGCTGGAAGACTTCATTTATCAGCCTCCTCTTCCTAGCTCTGCAGATCACTGACCCTGTCTCTCCTCACATGACCCCTTACAGCTAAACTGCCCCCATAAGTGGACATTTGGATCCCATCACAGCCCAGACTCCCTCCCTGGTTCCAGCCACATTTCTTCCCCTGGATCTCAGGCTTTAATAACTATTCTCTTCACATGGGCAGGGAATTGGGTCTAGAATGTGTCTGCCTTCAGCGCCTCCACCATGTTCTGAAAGACCCTGGAGTTAGATTCACATCGTGGCTAATGAGTATCCAGGGAGAATGCCCGTGCGGGAGGCATTGAAGTCTGGCTCAGGAATCACAGTCCAGAACCTGTTTAAAGTATAGCCAGTAAAGATAGAGCAGAAAAGAACTTCGCTGGCCCAAAAAGTCAGAGATGGTGACTGAAGTCAAATAGGCCTGCATTGAAGGCCCCTACCCCCACACCAGGAATTGTTTCCACTGGTCACCCCAGAAGGAAGCAAGCAGCCCTTGTCACAGAGCAGGTGACACCAGACGCCCGGCTTGCAGAGTGGGACAAGGTGATGAGCAGAGCAGACTCCAGCGTGGCCCTGACAGGCATGCCCGTGCTCCGCCAGGCTGTGCCAGAGATGACTATGGCCCTTGAGAGGCCCTGGAGAAGACTGGGGACAGGGAGGCAGCCTAGGATGTTTGTGGAAGGAGCAAAGCGATAGAGCCATCTCCCACCAGGAATTACTAGCTGGAGGAGGTGGTCGCCCCAGTGTGGAGCTAATGACTGTTCCACTGCTCCCATTGTTGGGCTTCACCAACCAGAGTTGAGCTGGAGCACAAGCTCCGTGTGGAGGAAGATGTTAGCAGTACTGTTTCTCTCCAGGGAGACAGGAGGCACTAAAGCAGTTGGCCTCCATCGCCTCCTCTGCCCAAGGCCGTTCAAGCCAGAAGACTGGTCTAGAATGGCCCCATGTCCTGTCTCGGACTGGGGAGTATGGTTAAGGGATCGTGGAGACCTTTAAGTGACAGGACGTTCATATCCTTTCCCAGCAACCCCACAGCAGAAAGGCTGGGGAGCAGGTGGCACTCGGACCCTAAGCAAGGGGCCTCTGACACCCCAGGCTTCCCCAACACGGGTGCCAATAGATCCTGGCACCCACCCTCCCACACCGACCATTCTTCTTCTAGGGTGAAGCCTGCTGGGAGTGTAAATGATGTGGGCCTGGATGCCTTGGATTTGGACCGGATGAAACAGGTGAGAGCCAGTAGCAGTCGGCAGGCTGGGGTCCCATGCTTGACTGCCACAAAGGCAGGAAGCTGGCCAGTGGAGGAGAAGGGAGGGCCATCATGGACTGAGGGGTGTTGAGAGCAGGGTCTGCCCAGGGCCTGGCTAAGGGAGAGACTCCTGCATCTCATCCCCTAGAGCCAGGGTCTGCTCCTTCACTCTGAGATTCTGCCCAGCAGGAGATCCTGGAGGAGGTGGTTCGAGAGCTCCACAAGGTAAAAGAGGAGATCATTGATGGTGAGTGGGGACCACTCCAGCCAGGGATGAGCTCCTTGTCCTCCCAGCACCCCACACCAGCCCAGCCCGTAGCTGCAGAAACTACAAAAGTGAAGTGGGTTCCTGAGAATACACGTCTCCCTGGGGCGTGGCTTCTGGGCCTGAGATCTCCCTTGCCTCGGCTTCATCCCAGAGATCGCCCTGTGGAGGAGAGGGTGGACCTGGAGATAGCCTCCGAGTTTCTGTCCTTTCCTGTTCACTTCTGATGCCTGTCCAGCCTGTCACCGCTGCCTCTAGAGAGTGCCTGCGCTCCTTCACAGCCTGCATGGCCCTGTCTAGGGAGCCCCTGGCTCCAGAAAGTAGGGCTGTGATGCTCTTCTGTCCCTACCAAAGAGCTGACTCAGGCTAGAACAGAGCAGCAAAGCACAGCCTGCACCCACCCCTACCTGCTGCCCCCCCCTATCACTGGTGCCCAGGCTAGAAAGACCTATGAAGCCAGAGGGGTGGCTAATAGCAGGCTCACACAGGGATGATGGGCACAGAGGTGCTGCTGAGACCTGGCAGCCGATAGCAGCCAACAGATATGATGGCTACACTCCTTGGTCACAGAGACCACAATTCCTTTCTGTCCAGTCCCAGCAGGGGATGAGTCTGGGAGAATGTTAGTGAATGTGGGGAAGGAAACAGCACTATACGGAACAGTTCTCTGTCTTACTGCTGCCCCGCGATTCCAGCTCACTTGCTGGCAACTGGGGAAACAACATGGTCAGAAACCCCAAGCATAGCCCAGCTGTCTTCAAGAGAGATGCCTGGGACAAGACAGGAAGTGGCAAGAGCCTGGTCTCAGCCACTGCCTGCCACCATCATGTAGATCCATGGAAAGTGTGTGAGGGTCCTGCTCTGCAGAGAGCTTATCACCTAACGGTGGCCCTTCTCTGGCTGTCAGCCCAGCCAGGGCTGTCCACTGTGACAGCACCACAGGCCTGTGAAGGAGGAGGGGAGAGTGCGGGAAGGGAAGGGGAGGGGAGGGAGCCCAGGTCTGGGGAAGAAACAGGAAGAGGGGTCAGAAGAAGAAACAGGAGTTTGGGAAGGCTTAGCGGGTCTCACACAGGCAGAAGAGAGGCAGCCCTGGAGGAGAAGGGCCTGGTCCTGGCAACAGAGACTCCTGCTGTACCACATCCACAAGGCGGGCGAGGGAGGGACTCAAGGCCTCTGAGCAGATGTGGGTGCCCACCTGTTAGACTCTAGGAAGACCTGGGTCCCTCCCACAGCAGCCCGAGGGAGCCCTGAAGCAAGGCCTAGTCTTGGGCTTTTTCAAGTCTCTCTCATTAGGGGCGGAAGCTCATGAGGGCTGGGTTGTCGCCCCAAAGGTCTGCCAAAGCTGCCATGCTGGTAGGCATCCAGCCCGTGTGTGCTCTCTGGCAGCCTGAGCAGGATGCTTCCCTGCTACACTGAGCCTTCCTCTCCTGTCCTGCCCTTAGCCATCAGGCAGGAGCTAAGCGGGATCAGCACCACGTAAGATGGCGCCAGCCCTGGAGGATCGCGAGGAGCCGTGCTGGCCCCAGCACACAGCGAGCCTGCAGAAGCTGGGATGTACTTAAGTCTCAACCTGTGATTCAATATTAAAATGAGGAGACAAACTTCAACTCCTGGATTTTTAGCATATCTGACACAAAACACCGGGTCTATTCTTTTTTTGTATTTTATATTTGCTTATTTAAGTGTACGTTTCTTTGGTTTATAGAGAGACCGCCCCCAAATCACCTGCTTTATTAGATGGATTCCAGGTTTTCTCTTAGGTGACACTGTTAGCTCCTCAGCTGGCAGTGAGCAGCTGGGTGCAGAGTGGTCTTCACGCCACAGAGCTGTCGGAAGGCAGCTCAGCCCCAGCAGCCAAGGCGTTTCAGTCTGTCCACGCAGCGCGTGTTCTGTCCACACGATAATAAACCACTCACTGTCCACACTTGGGCTCTGGCTCGCTCTATCATGCGCCGGCTCTTGGCTGCCCTGGTAGGATGCCCCTTTACAGGGAGTAGCCAGGGCAGAGGATGCAGGACTGAAGAGATAAGAGTAGCCGCAGAGCAGCTAGACTACATCAGAATGTCCCCAGGACCCAAGAACGTGGCCAGGCCACCAGGCACCTCCTGCTTGTGGAGCTGAGCTCAGGTCCTGCCTGTGGGGAGCCTCACAGTCCCAGGACCACAAGGTGAGTGGGCTCTGAGTGCAACACACTCTTGGACTCAAGGCTTCCATTGCAGTCTGCCTGTCAAGTGCTGGAAGGAAGAGCTCGGGGAGGAGAAAGGAAGCTTTGGCCCTATGGACTTCCTGCTCCTGTGGCATTGCCAGGCACATTCCATGGCAACCTAGGGAAGTCCCAGCACTTACTCTTCGTGTGGCTCCAGAGAGCCTCTGACCCTTGGTCTCAAGGGTCAATGTCCATATGGTCAGGAGACCAGCAATGGAAGCCTTGTGACCATTCCCCATGTGAAACACCCTTCTTGAGCCTGAGGGGACGAGACACGGGCTGGACTTTACCCACATGGATTCAGTCAGACCTCATTCTCCGGAGATCAGGTTCAGGCCAAGAGAAGGACAGCACACTGACTGTAAAGACAAATGATAGATTTAATTTAGGGCACGAGAACAGAGAAACCAGCTCCATGGGACCGTAGTCACAGAGTATCCTGGTCAGTCAGATAGGTAAGCCTGGTTACTCCAGCCACAGCCTGTATCCCTGTTGCTGGGCCCAACAGGGCCAGAAGCAGCCAGGACTGCAGGAGCTGATGTAGCCAGACCAGTTCTGTGGCCCCAGCCCTCAGAAGTGGGGGAAATGTGGGCAGGAGGCATAGGGCTGCTCCCTCAGGACTGCGGACTGGCAGGGCTCACAGGCGGTCCTCTGCCAGCTTACACTTGCGCTTAATTCTAGAGTAGAGTCCCAGAGAGTCCTCAAACACAAAGTCCCAGAGCACCTTCACCCAGGAGTGGTGCTGCGGCAGGTGGTCATAGTATTCTGGAGCAATCTTCCGTACCTGTGGAAAGGGGGCAGGGTCAAAGCTACACTCACACTCTCACACTCTCAGTCTCTCATTCACTCTCTCTCTCTCTCTCTCTCTCTCTCTCCTCTCTCTCTCTCTCTGTCTCTCTCTCTCTCTCTCTCTTCTCTCTCTCTCTCTGTCTCTCTCTCTCATCATTCTCATTCTCTCTCAGACACAGAGCTGCAGGTGAAAGAGACCCCAGCAGGGAGCATAGCCTGGGTGCTCCACCTCAGAGCCCACCAGTTTTCCGACCCCTAAGGTCAAGGTGGGTGCGTTGTGGTCCTGCAGAGCTCTGAGGCCTGCACCTTGCAAACAACCTTGAGTAGCACCCTCACTCCTCACCCTGACCTGGTGTGCCATGTCTCCCTCCTCCCCCAGGACGTGCTCCAGCCACAGCAGGTGCTCTGTGAAGACTTCCCATCAGAGGTGGTCTCCATAGAGGCTCAAGCTTGACGTCTGAGACATACTATCTCTTTAACCCCTGCCTTCTTCTCAAATGTGCATTTGAGTGTGACAGTTTGGAAGGGACAGGCAGCTCATGGTTGCATGAGCAAAGCATTGGGACAATGCAGAGTCACCCAGCCCAGCAATGTTTGCGCACTGGACAAGCATGCTGTCACACAAACGCGCACTCTCTCTCTCTCTCTCTCTCTCTCTGTCTCTCTGTCTCTCTCTCTCTCTCTCTCTCTCTCTCTCACACACACACACACACACACACACACACTCACTCACTCACTCCTGGGCACCTAAGGAAGACATACACAAACATTCAGGCATGAGAACCCCCCTCTCACTGCTGCCCCTTGTCACACCTATCAGCCATGGCATTCCGGGCCTCTCGTCCTTCTGTCTCACCCTTCACCCTGTCCTCCTCAGCCTCCTCTCCTATAACCTGCCGCCCCCCCGTGGGTTGTGAGAACGAGACCACACCTATGTTGCCTGGCCAGCTCCAGGTTGGGAGCAGTGTGCCCATACTGTCACGAGGCTGTGGCAGGAAACGAACAGCAATAGATAGAGACAAAGCAGTGTCATCCACGTGATGTCCACTGCTACAAAAGGACGCTAACAGGCAAGTATGCAAACAGGACACGCCATCGCCAGCAGCAGGCCCCAGCAGCTGTACATTAACTGAAGCTGCTCGACCGCACCTGCCTCGAGAAACTCTATCCTGTCTGGGTCTGCTTCCACTGTCTCCAGCCAGGCACTGGCTTGTGTGGTATAACTTTCCTGCTGCCCTGGAGCCAAAGTGAGTGACCATCCCCTTAGCAACACAAAGGAGAAGTCAGCCTGGAAATAGCAGAGCCCCTCCCCTCACCCCTCCTCTCTCGCACCTGCCCAGTCTGGGCTGAGCACTCACCAGTGGCAGGTAGCAGCCAGGGATGCTGGGGAAGTCATGATGTTCCATGTGGTAGCCCACATTGAAGGTGATCCAGTTGAGGGGCCCATAGTAGGAGTAAGTCTCATGGCCCTTCAGGAACATATAATGCTCAGCCACAAAGTGGCCAGAGATAGGGTGGAGGCCCAAGCCCAGGAAGGTGCTGCCTAGAAGGTAAACTATGGGTTTGATCCCCCAGAGGGAAAAAATGGCCATGTTCACTGCCAGCTGCACCAGGGTATTGAGCATCTCCATACGGGTCACTGCCTTGGGGTTCACATAGAGTGGCCGCAGCGTGTAGAAAAGGGGTTGTAGTGTCAGCCACAGCAGCTTGCGAGCCGGTGTACAGAAGAACCAGCCTTCAAAGTCTGTGGGAATGTCCACATCCAGCCCGTCGCCGCCCAGATAACGATGGTGGTCCACGTGGTACTTTTTGAAGGATGTGGCATAGGGTACGCCAATGGGCAGATTAGCAAAGATGGCAAACCAGCGGTTTCGGGAGGGAAAGTTTGTGCCAAAGGCAGTATTGTGCGAGATGTCATGGATGGCCAGTGTCAGCGAATGGTTGATACAGCCACCAAATGCATAAGACCAGAACAACAGCCATCGCCAAGAGAGCCCCTGCACCAGCCAGCAGACCAGCAACTGCACCAACACCATTCCCAGCACTGTCCATTTGAGGTAGGGGTCTGGCCGCATCAAGGACTTGATGACTGGGTACTTGGCTACAGGAAAGATAAAAGAGTAATGAGTGACTTGGCATTTATTCATTTAGTTAAGTATTTTGGGGTTTTTTTGAGACAGGGTTTCTCTGTGTAGCCTTGGAGCCTGTCCTGGAACTTGCTTTGTAGACCAGGCTGTCCTCGAACTCACAGAGATCGCCTGCCTCTGCCTCCCAAGTGCTGGGATTAAAGGCGTGCGCCACCAACACCCAGCTGACTTGGCATTTACCGAACCCTCATCCTCTTGCCATCTCCCATCTTCAGCCCCAGCAGTGCCCTGAAAGTATACATGATTTCACCCCATTCCATCAAGGGTCTTGGAAAGGCATGCAAGAGTTGCAGCCTGGACTGTTGGGTGCAAAGGATCTCCTAACACTGGCCACCTTCAGGAAGAGGCTGGGAGACTTCCCAGGGTGGGGGAAATTTGCCACCAGCCTAAATAAAAGCACAGGTGTCACAGAAGGTTGCACAAAGATGATACTTTAGAAACCAGGGTAGCACCAAAGCCACAAGCATTCTGGTCCCCAGTGTTCCAGTAAACACGCGTGCATGGCATGTGTGACTGGGTACTTGGCTGTGGCTGTGGACAGAGAGAGGTGATGTGGACTGATCACTCCCAAACTCATCAGGTACATGAAGTGATAAGGCTTGGCTTGGGAGGCAGTCCCTAAAACAAACACTGTAAAGAAGAATAGCTAACAGAATATCAAATGTCTCCAGGGCATCCAGTGTCTGTCCTTATATAGTTGGTGCTTTTTTTTTTTTTTTTTTTTTTTTTTTTTGGTTTTTTGAGACAGGGTATCTCTATTGTTTTGGAGGCTGTCCTAGAACTCACTCTATAGACCAGGCTGGCCTCGAACTCAGAGATCCGCCTGCCTCTGCCTCCCAAGTGCTGGGATTAAAAGTGTGCGCCACCAATGCCCGGCTTAGTTGGTGCTTTTTTGTATCTTGGTTTCTAGAAAAGGGACAAATGGTGGGAGTTAGCCAAACCAGGAAGAACCAGGAGAGAAGGACAGGCAGAGCAGTGACACACTTAGGAGCTGGCTCCTCAAGACTAAGGGGTGGGACAAGACAGTTGTGCCTTCTAGAAACCTCAGCAGAAGGTGGCAGGTTCTGGTCAGATACCAAGTGCTACATCCAGGAACAAAGGGTCATTAAAAACTTATGGTGACAGATACCCCCAGGTCTGCTCTGTCCCCTGGCTCCCTGGACAAGGACAGACATCCCAGAGATGGGGCCAGCACTGTCCAGCAGGATCTTATCCTAGGGCACCTCAGTCTGCGGCCTTGACTGGAACTGGAACTGGCAAGACCATATGAACAGCAGTGATGTTGTGATGGCTATGTAACGTGGGACTGCCATTAATGCTTCCAGCTTCCATACCCAAAGTGGCAGGGTTAGTGGAGCAGTTCAGTTGCCAAGTGTAACACAAACCCTTGGGTTCATTCCCAGCACAGCATGAGCCGAATATGCCAACACACACCTGTAATCCTAGCAGTTGGGGGTAGAGGCAGGAGGATCAGAAGCTCAAGATATTACTCAGCTATGTAGTGAGTTTGAGGTAGCCTGTGCTGCATGAGACCATGAACAAATAAATAGGCAAATCATAAATTATGTTTTACCACCAGAAAAGAATATTTGACTGGACAGTGTTAGCTCACACCTTTGATCTCAGTGCTCCTGGATGCAGAGAGAGAAAGAGCTCTGAGTTTGAGGTCAGCCTGGTCTACAGAGTGAGTTCCAGGGCTGTTACACAGAGAAACCCTGTCTCAAAAAAAAAAAAAAAGGAAGAGAGGGAGAAAGAAAAAGCACATGTAGAATCATACCTATGGTTCCAGCCCCCACAGTTACTTAATGCAGGGCCCTAGGTTTCTGGAAGCACTTGGCATTAGGAAACCAAGCTGCTCCCAGGCAGACTGACTGTCTCTATCTTCAGGTGGAGGGGCCATTTAGCACCAGTGGTGAGCAGAACAATACAGCCCCCCCAAATGCCCACATGCTAGCCCCACAACCTGTGACCACCTTAAGCAAAAGGTCAAGAAGAGTCACATGTGTCATCAAAGTTATCACAAGGCTCGCCAGCATGCAAGAGCCAAGCTGTGAGCCCAGGGCTAAGTGAGGCATGAGGAGAGAGGCCACCTGTCTTAGAACAGAGAGGAAGTTATGTCAAGAAAGTGGGTGACACCAGAAGCCAGGAAAGACCAGGGAACCTGCTCCCCCAGGGAGCTTCCAGAAGGAATGAATGCTAATGTCCAGAGCAAAGGATACTGTGGAGGGGCCTGCACCCAAAACTGGTGACCCCATTCAGGATCTCCTCCCAACCTTGGGACAGAGGCCAGCCAAGTGCGGCCTGGCCTCTGAGAGCCCTACTGCTCTAGCAGAATGGGAGCATCATCCCTCTAGACTCAGCAGGGGTGAGACTCTGGGCATGTAGGACAGACAGATATGTGAGCCACACTCGGGCCTTCCACTGGAGGGACTGCTGTTCCTACTGCTGCCTGGGGAGTTGGAGGTAGGGTGGGGAGATGGGTGCGGGGCCAGGGTCAGAAGGACACCACCAGGGAGAGCCTCAGTGCTGCAGGTAAAGAGGAAGCCCAGGACTGTAGGGAAGGCGGCATGTCTTCGTGACAGAATAGGGACATCTGCAGGAAGGCTTTGTCCCCACCAGGAAAATCACATGCAAAGCGTCTGCGTCTGTGCATGCCACAGGCTTCCAAGTTAGGTGTGTCCTCTGTATACCTGCCTCACCCACTTAGCTTCCCTCGGGCAGCAGCCAGCCTCCCTCTCTCCTGCCCAGGAGTTCCAGCTAGGAATTTCCAGGAGGCAGCTGCCCTTTGGAGGGGAGCCAAGCATCAGCGAAAGAGGACGGATTCAGCCACACCTGTGTCAGGTGAGCCTCAACAGGTGAGCTGGAGGGCAGCGGGGCCCAGGCCCTAGCTTAGGCATAAGCTAGCCCATGCAGGACACGCCTAACGACACAGCCTAGCAGCAGTGACTTAGATGAAGGTCTTCAGACTGGGCTTGTACTGATGGTTTTGTGTGTCAACTTGATACACGCTAGAGTCATCGGAGGAAGGAGCCTCAGTTGAGGAAACGCCTCCATGAGATCCAGCTGTCAGGCATTTTCTCATTTAGTGATCAATGGGAGAGCACCCAGCCCATGGTGGGTGGTGCCGTCCCTGGGCTGTGGGGTCCTCTGTTGTAAAAGAAGGTAGACTGAGCGAGCCATTGGAAGCACACCAGTAAGCAGCACCCCTCCATGGCCCCTGCATCAGCTCCTGCGTCCGGGATCCCGCCCTGTGTGAGTCCCTGTTCTGACTTCTTCAGTGATGAACAGCAGTGCTGCAGTGTGAGCCTAATATCCCTCTCCTCCCCAGCTTGCTCAATATGACCCCTCCCTTCCCTCTGCCCAGACCCTCTGCAAGAAGCTCTGTGTGCCCCACCCCCAATAGCTCCCAATGACACGGCTGCACCCCGGAGTGCCCTTCTGGACCTCCCACAGAGGAGAAACACACCACACGAAAGGATAGTATATCCTCTTCCCGGCCCAACCTGATGCCCCCAAGCAACCTCTTGACAGATCCCATTCAGCCCACACAGCTGCTGAGCCCCTCCGTTCAGTGGGCATGCCACTTACATCTCCTCTGGTGGGCGTGGGCAGCATCCGGCCTCTAGCCTGGATACCCTATGCATGCACCAAGAGCTCTCAACTCTGCTACATGGCTGGAAGCCCAGCCTTGATAGCCACCTAGAACTCCGCAGCCCAGCATCCTCAGACTCAAGCCAGTGCCCCTGTCTCTCGGGCTCCCTTCTCCACTCCTGATACTTTCCCTGATGGCCCCCAGAACTAGGAGTACACAGAGGTGGCATCTGCATGGCCACTGAGTCTAAGGAGGCCTGACCTGACCCCAGACTTGCTGTGTGCGTGCATGTGTATGTACCTTGTTCTTAAGGACCCAGGGCCTATGAGACCCAGAGCCATCCACAAGAAACTTTTGTTTTAGAAACAGGGTTTCTCTGTGTAGCCCTGGCTGTCCCAGAACTCACTCTGTAGACCAGGCTGGTCTTGAACCTACACCTGCCTTTGCCTCCTGAGCCCGGGGATTAAAGGCATACACCACCACGGCCACCACTACCCAGCCACAAGACACTCCACCTGTCCCTCTGAGGAAGCCTTGGTCTTTCCAGAAATTCTCCTGATTTGTCAACTGTGTCATCAGGGACAGTCAAGAGCTGGGCAAGAGAGTAGCAGAGAGGGCTGCCAGCCTCAGGCCCCTCCAGCACTCCCTCCCTGTTGCCCCATGGAGATGGTGACCCCCTCCTCTCTGGTCTGCAGTAGGGTCTCATCACTTCCATCATGCCCCTCCCCTCCCAGCCTGGCATCAACACCACCCAGGACAGGATTCTCCCACCCCTTTCCCAGGGATGCTAATTAATGCACAAGTCCAGTCTCTTGTGATCTTGTCTCCTGGATCATGGGATCCTCCAGCAGGTGAGCCTTCCCAGCGCCCGTCACCAAACTGCTTAGTGATGATGATGCCACCTAGTGACCATAGGCAGAACTGCTCAAATGAACGAGCGCTACCCCTCCACGGTGGACCATGCTTTCCTAGACTACTTCTCCCAGCACCACCTCAGACTAGGAGGATGTCTCCCCACTGCTTGATCTTTCCACGCTGAGTTCTGAACCACAGGCAAGCCTGGCCCTGCCCCAGCACAGCACAAAACATCTACAATGGTCTGAAGTGTCTTCCCAAGTCTCATCTGCCTTCTCACCTACCACTTGTTAAAACTGCTTTGAATCCTGGTGGCAGATTTGGATACAGGTCTCTAGTGGTCCCCAACCAATGAGAGAGAAGGGTCCATTAACTTAGAATTAGGGGCAGGCGTGTGAGCTCGTACAGGTGCTGTGAGAGGACCAAACAGTATGCTGGGCACTTGTACTGAGACTTACCCACTGAAGAGGTCAGTGTCATTGGGGCTGGAAACGACCTCAGACCCTAAGGAGTGTTTGTGGTAATGGAACTATTCTCAGATTGGGAGTGTGGCCTTAAATTGAAGGACTTGCATGTCCTCCGTAAGTCTGTTAAAAACTAAAGAAGGAACATGGCATTAAGACAAACTAAATGTAGAGTCCCACAACATGTGAGTCATACTAGCAAGGTATGTTGAGGACATGGAAACAGTGCTCAGAACTCAGGCATCCCAAACTCAGATCCCCCATGTGATCGATTAGGGAGTGGGGCCTCAGGGTGATTAAGTCACAAGATGGGTCCCCCTTGTGTTGGGATCAGTAGACCAGAGTTCTCCCCCACCTCTCAGCTGAGTGAGGACATAAGAACAAGGAAGTGACCCTCACCAGATCATGCATCTGGCACCCAAGCTGGCCCTGGTAGCCTTTGACAAGGGGTGGCCAAGGTGTTTAGAGGGTCTATTTCTTCTGGTTTCCCTAAATCCCCAGAGCTGCTGGGCACCAGACACAAGTGAGCTTTGAGTGAAAAGAGCCGGTGCAGAATTACACCTGGGGACAAAGGTAGAGGGTGTGGCATTCTACAGGACAGCAGGGGAGAGGAGGGTTGCAGGGCAGGGGTGGTGGCATGTGAGCTGACTCACAGGGTTCCTGGGCACAGGAAACAGAGTAGGACTCTTTTCCACAGCTCTACTTCAGGGATGCACCCAGGAATGTGGGAGCCAGCCATGATGAAAATGGTTACAGAAATTCAGAGCTTTTGGTTCCTTCCAGAGAATGTTTTCACATTTACCATATGCCGGTGAGCACACACATGTGAGTGTGCACTTTGTACAGATGTGTGCATGTGTGGCCAGGATATTTCTTTGGAATATTTGAAGCTGAGACCTGAAGAATACACGGAAGTTAGTTGATGAAATGGGAAGAAAAAAAACGTCGAACCAGCACTCGGGAGGCAGAGACGGGTGGAGCTCTGAGTTTGAGGCCAGCCTGGTCTACAGAGTGAGCTCCAGGACAGCAGGGCTACACAGAGAAACCCTGTCTCAAAAAAAAAAAAAAAAAAAAAAAAACAAGGGAGGAGGAGGAGGAAGTTGTCATCTAGCTGCGGATGGGAGGGTCCTGGTGCTGGCCTAGCCTGTGCCAAGGTAAGGTCCTGGGCTCCATCCCTAGTGCCACAAAAATAAATAACCAGTCCAGCACAGAACAATGCTTACAAAGGCCAGGAAGTTGCTTGGGCCTCCCAGATTGGGGAGAAGGCAAAATACAGAAAAGAGCTACAGGGTCAGTGTCTGAGTGTCCCTAATAGACCAGATCAGAGGCCAGAGTTCAGCATGGACGCTGTAACGGGGAACAACAGGGCTATTGCCTCCTGCACTGTTGGGGGCCTGTCCCCACATCCCATTTTCACATTCCTGCTTGGTGTAGCACTATACACACCTGCCCCTCAGCACAACACTACCCCTGACCTTAAAACCGTGGTCCTATAACTGGGGAAAAAACCCACCAGGCCCCCAAGGAGACCCTGCCACTAAAGGTAGCCACAGAACTGGGCAGGAAAGGCAGGCACATCCCTCTCCCGTAATCTCAGTCCCTGTCTGGCAGAGGAAGCCTCAGACTCAGCCAGGTCCTTGCAGATCCCAGCAATAGGCAGGCTTCCCCCCAGCCACCCTGGAGTCTGCATGTCCCTGACTGAGTGACCAGAGCCTGCTAGCCTTCCCCTGGCAGCTCGATGTGTGCCCTAGACTCTCCAGCAGCGACATTCGGTCTTCCCAAAGGCCATCGATCGCCACTGAGAGAAGTCGCAGCCTAGCCCTTCCTAAGTAAACAATCCAACAACTTTTATTTCCTGGTTTCGTGTGTGTGTGTGTGTGTGTGTGTGTGTGTGTGTGTGTGTGTACCTTGCTTTCATATGCTTTTTAAAAAGCAAACAAAACTACAAAGCTATTTATCTTCAAAAAAGCAAACCCAAGCTTGTGTTCCCGGGCCAGGCTCCATGTGTAATGGGTTAGCTTCCTGCCTGCCCTGGAACCACATTCTCGGATGCTGCCATGGACCCTTTTTATTAGGACTCGGTGCCGGGCGAGCATGTTCTCATCCCAGGCAGCAACAAGAGGTGGACTTTGGTCTTACCACAGAGCACCCAGGACCAACTCTTAGCAATGACTTCCTGGGACCTGACTGGGAGAGTCTGGTCTTAACTGAACACCTGTCAGGGCTGAGAGCCTAATGCAGCCACCAGCCAGTCAGCTGTGTGGGCTACAACTGGACCTGGACTATTCAGCACAGGGCAAATTGCTCCTCCTCTCTGCTTGACACTTGGCTTCTGAAAAAGAGACAGAGCAATTACGTGCAGGATCCCCCACCCCAGGGTGGCGGGAGGATAGATGGTGAGGCCTTTGTTCCCCATCCCCAGTGAGTCACCAGCCCTGTCTGCAGGAGGAAGACACTAACAGTTTCTGCTGTGTGTGGGGATCCTGGCCTGAGTGTTTCACAAATCATCTCCCAAGTCCAAACAGCAGCTCCCTAAGGAAGGCTTCCCCCCCAGGCTTCCCTCTTGCCCAAGCTGCAGTTTCCTCATCTGGACACTGAGTCACCCTTAACTCACAAGTGACTCTTGGAGTCCTGGCATGGGATCAGCCCGTCTGCCAGCCACTAAACTTCTGCTGCAGAGCCCAGAGCTTGGGCGATGGAGATGGAGAGGCAACGCCTAGAGAGTGCCTTCACTGGCTTGGCCAGGACCATCAGAGCAGCCCATGGGTTTGGGGTGGAGGCTTTCCTGGGGGTGGGAACACTGGAGCATCCGGTCAATTCAAGAAAAACCAGAGCCGAGATCCCAAGTCACCAGCACAAACTGGTCAGGGGTCAGGAAGCCACAGTCCCTACAGCAGGAACATGAATGCAGCTCCACGAAGATGACTGCTCTCTTGATATACCTGGACCAGAGTGTCCCCCTCAACACCCCACGACTCCTGCCCTGCCCCCTTTTCCCCACCAATCTCTCTAGGAAATCTGGATTCATTCTAGTGCCCATGGTTTCTCTGGTTAGAGATATTTAGGGCTGGGCTGTGGCCCAGTGGTTAGTGTTTGTTGCCTAGTGTGTACAGAGACCTAGCTTGATTCCCCAGAACCACAAATGTGAAGCCCACTTGTGCATCTGCGAGGGAGGGAGGTCCGTGTCGTGTATCCTGGAGTCCCTGACACCTTAACTGGCTCCAGTCCCTCAGGAAGCCTGCCCCATCCCCTCACCGCTGTGCAAGGTAGAGCATCCACACCATTTTACAGATGGGGGGTGGGGATGAGAGGAGGGGCAGAGAACGTTACAGGTGCAGCCCTCCCTCCCGAACTCCCCGAGCAGCTGTAGGCGGGGGCACACAGCTGCCATGTGTGTCTCTGCTCATAGGTCTTCTAAGGCTAGGTGCTCAGAGAATTCAGGAAGAGAAGCTGGGGAGCCAGGGGAGGGCCTTTGGAGGCCTTAGCATAATCCTGCACCTCAGTCAAGGCACCTTGCCCTCCTGCTGTGGTGGCAGTGCCTGCTAAGGGCTTACCCAGACAACCACAAGACACAAACCCACAGGACAGTTTCCAGGCCCTGAGCCCCTAACTGCCGCGAAGGCAGCCCAGGTGCACCTTGAGTGTAAAAGACATAAAAGTCAGAGAGAAGCTTCCACAGATTAGGGGCAGGTCAGAGAGATGAAAACAAAACAAAACAAACAAACAATAAAAACCGAGAATCCATCTTTAAGAAAAAGACCCATCAGGTTGAGACCTGGCCGAAGACAACTTAGAGACCTGGACACCAGCCCGGATACCAGCGGCAAGGAAAACGGAAGCCCGCCGTTGAATAAATGTAAGTTGAGCCCAGTTGTAGTCCACACAGCCAATTCAACGAGACCGAAGGGCTAGAGCACCAAAGTGGGGTAGGGGAAGTGAGCGAAGCAAGGAGCGTCCCTGCGCTGGGAGGCTTGGGGACAGCGGAAGAAGGCACTCCTGTCACGAACCCTTCACCTGCGAGCCCGAGACTCCTGCCCTTCCCGTAGAATCCGCAGGACGTGGCCCACCCCGGGAAACGACCTCGCAGAGGTCCGCTGCAGGAGAGTTGCGATCCTCCGGTGGGGTCCTTGGGGTCTCCTGCTTCCTGAGAGGAAGTCGCATATTCCCGCAAATTTACCAGTATTGACCACGATGCAAGGGAATCTGTACAGAGCAGGTGCCTAAGGTGCCTACTGGTTGCAAGTGAAGAACTCTTGGCACGCGCTGACCAGCGCTCCCCCCCCCCGTCCCGTCCCGTCCCCCCATCCCGCTGCGGTCACCAGGTCCCCGGCTGTGGTGGCACGCACGCGCTCACCGAGCATCTCCTTGCGCCTCTGTGTGTGCGGCTGGTCGCTGTAGACCCACTCGAAGTCGCTGCGACCCGCGCTGTTGCCCATGGTGGGGACACTGGGGCCCGAGCGTGCTCTGAGGAGTTGTGTTCACCTGTGGCAGGGTGTCTTCTGAGGCGGGGACCTAAGGACCCGGGAGGGGGCGGGGTGGGGGTGGGGTCTAGGCTCCAGTGCCTTGTAGGCGGACCTGGGGCCGGTGACGATGGTTCCCTGGAACCCAAGAAGCATGGGTTGGGAGATGCAGCCGTGCCGCACCCTGGCAGCCCTGCAGAGGCCACAGGGGTCGCCCGGAGTCCTTGAATCCCCGACAGCGTGGCGACGCCCAAGGCTGTGCCTCCAGCGCACCTGTCTCCACGCCTAGCTTGCCTCACCGCGGGGCTGTTCACACCATCTGCTCTAGACTCTTAGGCGTTTGGGTCTTCCGATCCTGGCATCCTGGTCCCCACGGAGTAGTAAGTGGGAATTCATGCTTGGGGACGAGGAACTGGAAAGGGGAGCTTGCAAGCAAGGCGCTTGGGACAGGCAGGCTCCAGCAATGTCTTCCCTGCGTGTCCCTTTCAGGCATAGGGATGGAAAGACGACAAAAACACGGAAGTGAGTCAAACACGAGGAACAGAGGTATAGAGGTGATTCAGGGTGATCTGTGCCGTGGCACAGACTGGCTTTGGAGCACTTTTTGCACTGGGCCCTTGTAGGACAGGTAGACTGTCCACAGCAAGAGAAAATGAATGGGCCTTGATGGTTAAGGGGAGGCAGGCAGGGGCTGTGCACATGGGGATGATTTTCACTGGGAAATGCATGCACCGTGCTAAGAGAGCACCATGGCTAGGTCTGCTTTTGAGAGACTGCCCTAGACACTGTCACAGAAGGTTCTGCTGGTCTTCAGGCCACTAGCCAGGCTCCTTAGTCTTCTCTCTGGGGTGACTTCAACTTGTCCTTTGGACCTTGGAGAGGAAAGTTGGGAGAAAGAGGGAAGGGAACAGAAGGAGTTTACTATATCCTCCAACAGCCACTCTGGGGAGACTGACTACATGGGCAAGGGCAGGTGGGGGGCTTTCCTGCCTTGCTTCCTGGTGACAAAATTGTGTTCCAGAAACTTCTACAATCCTAGGTCAGTCTGACCTGGATGTGTTGTATAAGAATGTCCTCTTGATTGAAACATTCTACCCTAGAGAGAGGCTCCCTTGGACTCAGGAAGTAAACAATTCACATGTCTCATGAAGTCCCTGAAACCGACTAGATTCACAAAGCCCCTCCCTGTTCAGGGGTATACAAACAGGAGGAGCTGACTGGACTCTGCACAGAAAGCCCCAGCGCCCCAGATTTCATCTGTTGCCATCTGTGCGGGGGAGACACAGCTTGCCCTCAAGCCATCCGTACTTCTGTAAGGAAGCCTCCACCCATAAATCTATAGCGAACCCCGGTAAAACAGCGTCACCAAGTTGAGAGACAGAGAGGGAAGGAACCACCTCAGACATTCTTCAGGTGGGGATGTGGGTCTGCGGGAGTGACACAAGAGGTCTCATCATCTGCCGCCTCCTTGCTTCTGGTGTTCCAGAGGCTCAGAGCCTGGCCTCTTCGTGGCCCTGTCTGGCACAGCAGCCAAGGCCACCACAGGCAGACATGATAGAGAGTGTGCTCTTCTTCCTAAGGCCCAGGAGCATGGACCATTCTCAGCCCTGGCTGGAGCTGAGGAGGGGGGCTTAGACCGCTAGTGACATCGGAGTGGGGAGGGGCCCTAAGGAGGCTCCACAGCCCAGGGGGGAAGACACCCAGCCAGACACTGTCCCCACTGCTGTGTAGGGCAGGGCGTGTGCCACAGAGGCAGAGCCCGTTGCTGCCATCCCCTAGCTGCCAGATGAAGGGCCTGGGCCAGATGAGAAGGCTTTACCTCAGGCAGGAATACAGGCAGACCCATTTCAGGACCCGGCTCCCAACCTGTGGCCTGGAGAGCCTGCAGAGTCAAAGCGCTTGCCATGCGTCGGCCTCGGTGCTCTCCCATCTTGGTGCTTGTACCTGGGTTTCTGCTCTGCCCTCTGGTCACCACCTGCCAACTCAGGCCCAGGCCAGGGTAGAAAACATGCTCTTCTCTTGGGACACCATCTGCCCAGAGAAAAGTAAGCCAGGGTACTCAATTCAAAGAGGAGAAAATCAAGGCCAAAGAACATACCTGTAACTCCCGCAGTCAGGAGGCTGGGGCCAGCCTGGGCTATAACTCGAGGCCCCGTCAAAGGACAAAGGGAAAGGAAGAGAGAAAAGTGAGTTTGGGGTGTTTTTCATATACCCGTGTGTGTCTCTGATGTCTCCATGAGCAACTCTTGTCACACACACAGCAGTGGTCCTGTGAGATTATAAAGGAGCTGAAGCGTTCCTATGGCCCAAAACCGTGGTAGCACAGGCATCCTCACAGTGTCTGAAGGGATGCCGGTGTGAGCAGATGTGTAAACCCACAGCATACAGTCATGTGCCGTGAGCCACAGTCCATGGTAGTTAGCGGCGGGCTGCGCATTTACGGGGCTTCATGTTGGCGTTCCCCAGAATGTCCTTTGTGCTTATTGAACAATACATCACTGAGGCCGTCAGTGTGCCTTTGGGGTAGAACCCTCGCCTGGCATCACGAGGCCCCCGTTCCACCCGCCCCGCTGGAAATACTGTAACTGTAAGGCAGTGTGTGTCTGCTGTGCCCTGGGTCTCTTACATTTAATCATGCTCTGTGCATTGCTGCCTCAAGAGCAACCAGCAGCAATACAGAGGTTCCAGGAGCTGTATACAGGGTTGTGTAAACACGCTCTTACACTAGCCTATTAGCACAATGGATAATGCCCTAACCCCATGTATTATGAAACATGTCCTCACTGTCAGGTAAGGACTTGCACACACACACACACACACACACACACACACACACATATATGATCATGCAATTATGCTTATCTCTATGTTAAATTATTAGGCTACTTAGTCCCTGTCAAGTTGGTAAGCAGAGACTCTTATGGTCTAGAAACTGGAGGGAGCTCGAATGGCAACTCAGTGAGTCCTTGGCATCCATCACATGTCCCTAGGCTTGGGAGCAGCCTGTTGTTGCTACCTGCTGGTTCCCACTTGGTGTTGTAATCTAAGAAAAGCAGTGCTTGAGAGGAAGATCCATGCAACAGGGTTCCAGTAGAGGGTTTTTTTTTTTCAATTAGGGAAAGAGATCTTAAAAGGGGGAATGGTGAGGGAGATCAGCCTCCAGGGACAGAAGCAGCAAGAGAGGAAAGAGGAGCAGAGAGACAGAAAGGAGGAAAGAGAAAAAGAGGGAGAGAGAGAGAGAGAGAGAGAGAGAGAGAGAGAGAGAGAGAGAGAGAGAGAGAGAGAGAGAGAGAGGATGGGAGGTGGGCGGGGCCCTTTTAAAAGGGAACACAGTGAATACGCACAGGTGGTGCTCTTAGTGGCTGCAGCGAGGGCGTATCTGGTCAGAACCCCAAGGATAGGCCAGCACAGATGTCTGAATGCTAACATTCCTCCCTTTTTATTATAAAAAGGTGAGGAGTTAAAAAGGGGTAGCACGTTAGGTGGGGTTGAGGACGCCATGTTCTCGAGACCACTTCCTGCCTATCTGGGGGGCACTGCTCATCTTTGGGGGACCTGGGAGAACTGGGGTGCTGGCCACGTCCTGGAGTAGCTGGCTGTTTCACTTCACTGTCCAGGCTCTGTGGAACCATCAGGTGCCTCCTGGACCTGGCAAAATGCCGTTCGAGGTGGATCCCAACCGACTCCCTAGGGCTTAAAGCTCCTGATCCTTTCCCATCACCACAGCATCACTGGACATGTTGGTGGCCTTGAGCCTGCAGCTCTGTGGGCAGCAGCTGCTGGTCCTGCAACAACAGCTGATCAGGAGTGGTCAGTGGTCTCCAGAGAACATGCCAATGGGGGCAAGGAGGTACAGATGAGGACAAGCTTCCACAAGTGAGACAGAGAGTAAGACCCAAGGGCCTGCAATTCCTAGCGTCCCGGGAATTCAGAGAGGGTCGATTTTGAGACAGGTACAGGCCACCCAGTGAGTCTTCACTCAAAGGGTAGGGGCCAAGGGTTCAGAGCCTGAGAGAGCCGTGGTTGTCTGATACCAGGATTTAACGCACCAAAAGGCGAGAAACCAAGCTCAAGAGATGAGAGGAGTCTTCACTCGTGGGAATAGCCTAAGGTGGAGTGAACCATGGTAATTTTGGTTGGAAGGAAGCAGCAATATGGAGAGGTGAGACTGTCTTGTGTGAACTGGGTTCCAAGGTCCTGACATGCCTCAAACTGCCTGCAGGCAAGAGGAGATGCCAGGAGAGCCTTCCCCGTCAGGGAACCAATGTTGTAATTTAAGAAGAGCAGCACTCATCTTATCTAAATTTAAACTGGAAAATAAAATTAAAAAAAAAAGAAGAGCAGCACTCGAGAGGAAGATGCCATGCAACAGGGTTCAACCTTACTCTTCTTAGAGAAAGGGATCGTAAAAAGGGGAAAGGGGAGGGGAAGAGACCAGCCTCTGAGGACAGGAGCAGCAGGAGAGAGGGAGAGAAAGAAAGAGAGGAGGAGGGGAGGTGAGCAGGGCCCTTTTAAAAGGGAACGCTGAATGTGCACAGGTGGTGGTCTTAATGGCTGCAGCTGAGGGTGCATCCTGTCAGAACCCCAAGAACAGGCCAGCACAGATGCCTGAATACTGACACTTGGGACCTAATTATGATTTTTTCATCATCCGGTTCTGGTGTCATAAGCTATCTGAGGACTCAGGTACTGACTGTTCTTTGGTGACCGAAACCAGGCCAGAACACATTGTTGTCAAACCCACCCACCCCACCCACCCCCTTCAGAGTCAACACCCTGGGTCATGGCCAGGACCCAGAGTCAGTGGCCTCCCAAGGAAGTCATTCCAACAAAGAAAGGCAGCCCTCCAGAAAGGGGGAGAATGGGTTTCCTGGGAAGAGAGGGAATGGAATTGTGTGGAGGGTGGGGACAACACAGCCTTCCAAGAGCCTGGTGTGGTGACATGGAGTGCTGTAATCTCAGGAATCGGGAGGCAGAGTCAGTAAACAAGTTCAAGAGCAATTACATAGTAAGTCTCGATAAATAAATAAATAAATGCACAAATAA